ACTTTCCCAATGAAGCTGTGGTGGTACAGAGGAGCTCAGTAAGACCCCACAAATCCATGGGCAGAGGTGTTTAATCACTCCCTGGTGCTGTCACAGGGTTCTCCAGCACGTCATGAGCTCCTTCCAAATGCCTGTGCTCCAAACTACTCATCTCACTGGTTTATACTCCTCAGGAAGCAAAGCTGCCCACCAGAACCTCCTCCAAGCCAGGACCTAAATTCACATGGTATTTAAATTCTGAGCAGTGAATAATTCAGGTGATGTTAACTGTGCAAAATGTGATTTATGGAGCCGTTTCTAGGAAGGTCTGGGAAGGGAGCAGGCAGAGACTGTGCTTCTCCAGGACAGCAATAAGAGACAGAGGCTGTCCAACCCTCTATCCACCAATTCCCTCCTCCAACCTATTGGGTTTGTCTTAGCCCTTTCCAAAGAGCCATTTAGGGCTCCAGCATTTCACAAACATTGCCAGTAAGATCAACTATTTAGCACAGCCTATCTCAGCTTTTTATATAGCTCTTAGCATGGATATCTGAGCATCATATATTTCTTTTTGTGCAGTATTTCTGACTCAGTATTTCCTGCCTCCTTGACAATGACTGAGTAAACAGCAGAGCTGCTAGAGGAAGAGCCCTGTGTTTACAGAGCAACAAGCCCAAATGTGCCTTTATTTTTTAGCCCATCAGAAGGTGGCAATGCTTAAATTGACCCTCATTTTTATCCCTCACTAAACTTTTGCCCTCAAACTTGCTGCTACCAGAATCAGCCATGGGTTGGTGGGCCCAGATCTGGGGAGAAGTTATTTGGAACATGTCTTAAAAAAAGTGTGGCGAACTCCCAAGGGAAGAATTTTCAGCTGCAGCTGTCTGAGCTGGAGTGAGGGCTTAGATCCGATGGCAAAATGCTGCTTCTCATCCCACCTGACTCTGCTGCCCACCAAAAATGTTAGAGGAGGGATTTGCCTCCTCTCCCACAGTGTGGCCATTCCTCTTGGCTCTTCTGGCTTGGTCCTAGTCTTGGGAAGGTCTCATGTCCATTGTCATAGACCAGTGTTGAACTGTGTCTACACTGGGATGAGGAGTGGGCTTTCACTTGGCTGCAAGAGTGAACACCCCCAGGAAAAAGGCATTTTGAGTTGCCACTGCTGGCAGGAGCCTCAGCCAGGCTTACAGAGGATCCAGCAGGGGATGTCAGAGGTTTTGCTGAGCCCTGGACCATCTCTGTGATGTGTGTGAGCACAGGCCATGATGAACGTGCTCAGCCTTCAGATTTATGCCCCAGCCCTGTCCTGTATGAGAGCTCTTTAGAGGTCCTCTTGGCATCACCCCACTTCCCACATGGTTTCCCAATGAATTCTTCTCCCAAACCAGGCAGAGAAGAAAGGCCAACCCTACCTGGTATAAATACATTTTATTTTAAACTGAAGGAAGGTCATCCAGGAGACACACCCAGATTATCTACAGGCCAGAGCACCCCCAAATTAGTAATACAATTCATGTTTAAAAATACAGCCAAACTGATGAAAGATAATTTGCTTACTGCCCTGACATCACCACCTAAGCATGGGGCAAGCCAATCCACAGGTTATTTTTATATAACTCCGTGAGGCATTTCCAGAGCAAATAAAGTTCAGTGGGCAGGGCAGTGACCCGGCTGTCTGGTTCCAGAGCTTTTCAGCCCCCTCAAGGCTCGTCACCAGTGTGTGGAGGTCTGTGGGTCAGGGCACAGCTCCATAGGATGTGCCCCAGGCACACAGGACGTGCGGTTTGTTTCTGACGGCCAGTTCCTCACCTCTCCCACGTGCTGGCTCTGGCTCATCCCTTGGGGTTGCACAGCCTTTGGAGCTGCCCTCAGTGTTCTCAGAGGGTCACTGGGCCTGCTGTGGGCATGGCTGACCCACAGCTGGTGAGTCACACGTGTAACTCCATTAATTGAACAGCCCAGATGAGCCTTGGTGGCAGCAGTGATCTCCTCAGACTCCCCAAGGCAGATGGGGCCTCTCTGCACTCAGTGCACACCATGGTACAGGTCAAACCTGCAGTCTGAAGGACAAATTTAAGGACAGAGCTTCCTGGACCACCCTTCTGGTGCATGCTAGGACACTGGAGTAGCACCACCCTGAGGCACGTGGATTTCTCAGGATGCTTCAGGACACCCCTGGCACTGCAAGTCCAGCTGCTGTGGAGGCTCCTGCCAAGCCCTACTCTGGCCTGTAGGCAAGTGTGGTCCAGAAAAATTCCTCCCACTGGCAAGATGTTCTCCCTGCTTTGTCAGAGGAATCAGTGTCACCGCCTTCCTTTTGCAGAATATGTGCAAATCACCTCCTTTTGCAAAGCTTGACCCATCCTGAGTCCAAAAATGGAGCAAAATTATTCCCACTGCAGCATCACATTCTGTGTGGAAGTGTCTGCAGTGCCTTGTGCATCCATCCCACATTCCATCCCCCTCTCCCATCCTTCATAGGGGTCCCTCAAAGTCTGCACAAGCTTTTCTGTGACTGGGGGTGGTGGGGGGCTACAGACACCTTTCTTTTACAAGGATCTGTTCATCTACAAAGGTGGGGAGGTGTTCTTTGATGTCTCTGCATCAACCACTGGGTGCCACAGGATGAAAAAAGGAGGGTGATGTGTGGTGGAATCCTTTCCTGCCCAGCTCCCATCCCCGGCCTGATGAGTTTGGTTTGGTATGCTGGTTGGTTTGTGGAAGTTCCAGGCAGTTGGTGGGTTTGATGGTTTGGGTTTTTGTACAGAAAATTGTTTACAGAAAATACCTTTTTTTTTAAAGACAATGTTGAAGAGTTATTTTTGTTTCTTGCACAGGCACAGAGCAGGGCATGTTTGAAGCAGGAGAGGGAAGGAGCAGAGTTTCCTGCAGTGTTTTTTGTTCTTTCCCAGTAATCTGGGACTGCAGAGCCCGTGCAATTATCCCAAGCTGCTAGGAATTTCACAGCATGCCCCAGGGATCCCAAAATACAGCACAGCTCCCCAGGTACACGAGTGTGGAGCTTCCAGGCCCAGGCAGCACAGGAGGTGCTGTAGGGCATCCAGGCTGGGAGAGGGAGGATGGGTTGGGGGCTGGAGCTGGCTGGGATGCTGCATGAGATGCTGGAGACAGTGCCAGGAGAGGGAGAGGAATCCAGGAAAAGCTCCAGGGTTCAAAGGAAAACCTTCTGTGCACTATATGGGTGGATGGGGCAGATGGGATACTCTTGCCTGGGTTTTTAATTTATCATTAATCAGGATATCATGTCTCTGTCTTTTTTTTTTTTTTTTTTTTGCATTAAATTTCAATTTTAAAGTCCAGAACAAGTAATTGGGTAACCTTGGGGGTGATAACCAGAGCTGACAAATAACTCCTCTGTCACTGCCCAGGGACGGGCTGGTTAATGAAAGGATGAACTCTGCAAACTCCCTCGGAGAGTCTGGGGAGACCCAACAGGATTTGGCTGCAGGTTGACTCCAAAGTCGCAGACACAGTTGGGCAACTGACTTATGGAAATGGGTGTAGAGAGGAATTAGTCATCACTGCTTGGTTAATAAGTGCCTCAGCTATTTTACAAGTCTTTTTTCCTGCATATGCAAATACATATTTTATTTTTCCTTTTGTAATGAAACATATAAATAGCTCCTGCCTTGGATCTTCTGTGCATACAGTTGTGTCATGAAAATGATCGTCGTGCTTTTGCCTGGCTTTCTTTAGCAGCTGCTTCACTTAGCTTTGTTCTAAAAGGAAGATCTCCTGTGTGTTGTCCAGGGCAAGAGAGCAAACTTTGGTGTGGTGGCTTTTATATCTCCCCAGCTTTGCAGAGAGCAGCTGCAGGTCAGAGTATTTGCAGCAGCAAAGCCCTTTGTCTCAGGCAGTAGGAATAAACTGAGATGAGAAAGATAGAAGGTAATTTATTTAGTTGCTGGATTTCAAAGGTTGTGCAACCTGCACTGGAAACACACAGTGTGGAGAAGGAACTTGTCTTCTTCTTCAGTATTCCCCTGCTTAGTGTCACCTAAATTTTAATGTCAAGGAAAGCTCACTATGGAGACAGGCAAGAAAAGTTGTGTGGGATGTCATGCAAGAACCTCTGCAGCATCTCTTAGAGCCCAAGGAAACCTTCTTGACTCTGAGCATGATGCACTCCTTTGTGTCATCCTCTGGAAAGGTTTTTGTAAGGTTTTCTGTGTTGGCTTGTGCTCTTTGCCATATGTTTCCATCACATACATCCCTTTTCGTACCCCGCCTTTGGACAAATCCCTTCTTTCTCCCACCTGGAGGTCTGATGGGGAGGCAGCTATCTCCCTGTGTGCTTCCTCCTGATGATGCTGACCCATAAATCACGTCACTGGGATAATCCTTAGTCATAGCAACCATCAGCTCAGGCGCAGGGTGACCTTTTAATGCCAAGCCCAGGCTGCCCTGATCTTCTGGTCAGGCAGGGAGCCAGTCTCTGCCATTATTTTGTGAGACGCCAGAGAGCAGCCAGACCATTAGGATGTTCCTGGCCAGACACTGGGTCTGCTGAAGATACTGGAATGAATGGGCTGGGCAGGTCAACCTGGACCACCAAGCCCAGGATGGCCACCATCATTTCCCCTGCATTTTATTTAACCTCTCTGTAGCTGCTTTTTTTCAGTCCCCGTGGTGCTGGCTTCTTCCCTCCTCACCAAAAAATCAAGCCATCCAAACTCAACACACCTGGAAAAGTGACCCTGTGTCTGTTGGGGGCACAGAAGGGTGCAGAGGGCAGACACCATCTCTGGTGCAAGCTGTGGCAGTTATTGCAGGAGTTGGTGATATTTCTGCAGTACCTGCTTTCTGGTGGCTTTGCTCTGTTGAAATTGCAGCCGCTCCACGCGCGTTGAGTAATCTCCCCACTGTTACTAAAGAGTCAGTCAGTCTGTCTGTCCTCCCCCCACCCCGAGTTTCAATTTCCTCCTAATTCCCTCTCTAGACAGCCATTGTCTCTGCCATGGTGTTGCTGATGCAGCCTCTTGTCTCTGTGCCTCTTGCAGAAGGATTTCTCCATGCGGGAGGAGCTGCAGCAGCGGGACGTGGAGCGCTGGCTGGGGTTCATCACCTTCCTCTGCGAGGTCTTTGGCACCATGAGGAGCAGCACCGGGGAGCCCTTCCGAGTCCTCGTCTGCCCCATCTACACCTGCCTCAGGGAGGTAAATGCCTTCCCACTTGTCCTTCCCCACCAGTGGGACAAGCTGTGCAGAGATGCCCATGGTCCATGGAAAGGCTGTGGATGCTCCATCCCTGGAAATGCCCATGGCCGGACTGGACAGGGTTTGGACCAAGCTGGGATAGTGGGATAGTGGAAGGTGACACCCTGCCCATGGCAGAGTGTCAGAACTAGACAGAGGTTCTCTAAGGCCCTTCCAGCCCAAACCATTCTGGGATTCCATCTTTGCTTTATAATTCCTAGACATTTGCTCTGCTGACACTTCACACTTCAAAAGTACTTACATCTGCAGGCACTCTTGGCTGTTCCTGCATATTGTCTTTCTGCTCATTAAAACACAATAATTAAAGCACACACTCCCTTTGTCCAGTGGCTAGGAAGGACCAAAGTTGGAATGGCAAACCAAGCACTGTAGTTTGTTAATCCCAGTGTTGTGGAAATCCCTACCTAAGCAGCTTAAGCAGCTTCATAAAGCAGGTGAAGCCACCCAAATAGATGAGACAGACCAAGGGGAGGAAGGAGGGAGACAAAGGAAGTCCCAAATGCCCTTAGACCCAACCCAGTGCAGCAGAAACCAAGCCCTGTCACCAGGGTGGGGGATTTTTCAGAACCTGATTTCCTGGTGAGCTCATTGTCAAGCTCCCCATGGGTCAGAGTGGTGGCAGAAACCTAAGTGAGTACATACAGAAAAGACAACTCAAGTGTTAATGTTCTATAGAGAAGGAAAGGGCTTCCCTCCATCCTGTTTTAAGGATGGCTTTGTCTCCTGCTGCTGCCTGTAGAAGATTTTCTCAGAAAAACCCGCCTTGTTGCCCAGGGTTGGAGCTGTGAATCTCAAATTGTCAGTGGTGCTTCTGTCAGGCCATAAATAACTCACTGTAAAATAAGTTCTCCGCTAGACCTCAGGCAAGGGAAGGATAAAGAAAGTGCTGGTGATGACTTTTTTTACATGCATGGGAAGTTTTCCTCTGAATGCAAACGCGCCATAAACATTTTGTCTGGGTGGTAGTACTGTGGGCAGAGCTCACAGATGGTGACTGGAGCAGAGAGGAGCGCAGGCCTCATGATAAGGCAGACATATCCAGAGGAGGAGATGGGAGAGGGACGCTAAGAATAGCCGAACTTCCCCAAAATCCCTGCCCACGGAGGTATGTGTCACCTTCTGGGGAAGATGTGACGTCTGGCAGAGCCCCCGTGCCCATCCGCTTCCCCTCGCAATCGTGACACAGCACAGCCCTGGTTCTGCCTGAGCTTTTCCCTGCCCACTCCTGTCTGCCCTCGCCGTGCTGTCACTGTCCCTCCTGTCACCCCTCTGCTCTGTGGGGACGTGGTGGTGAGCTAGAGGTGTGCGGAAGGACATGAATTTCATATATCAAGGATATTTTTTGCTACAGGGCAGCTCCATAAAAAGATTCACTAATTATATCAAGATGTCATGCGTAAATTTGCTCTTAAAAATACATCTCTGTTCCTTAGCAGGACAGGTCTGTCCCTGTGGTGTTGTTTGTCACAGATGACTTTACTAGATGATCTTTAATAGCGAGATGATCTTTAGGTCCCTTCCAACCCAAGCTACTCTGTGATTTCTAAGAGGTCTCTTAGCTTAGCTGACGTGGGTGAGCCTGACTCCTCTGGCTGCCCTGCCCCAAAATGCTTGCTCTGTGACTGCTCTCTCTGCAGTACTTTGACCTTGATTCACCCCTCTTCCATGGCTCTGGAATGGGTTTTCATTCTGCTGCCTTTTTTTTTGTCATTGCCAGCTAATCCTGCTGCACAGGGCCAGCCCAGGGGAAAGGGTCACTGATTTATCAGCAGTGCCAGGCTCTGGTTGGCAGACGGTTGCCAGGGCCAAAGGTGGGCTCAGACACAGCCAAGGAGGTGGAGGTGTGCTTTTCCAGGTGCACCCCAGAGAGGACAGGGACATCTGCACCGGCTGGGCCTGCTGGGTGCTCTGTGAGAGTGTGGAAAGCCCCTGACTGTGCAGGCTGTTCATCCCTTGGTGTTCCCCATGAGCCACATGGGCTGGTGGCCCAGCAGAGGAGGGGGTGGCACCATGGCCTTTAAAGTTTGGGACTCCCACATGTCTTAGGAGAGGTTCACAAGGTGTAGTAGCACTCAACATGGGTTTTTTCCCCTTCTGCTGATCAGAACATACATCCCCATGTAGAATCCCAGCCCCTCACTCCTAATTCCTTTCATATTGATTATTCCCAGCAAGCTCCCTCTGTGCTGCCCACAGTCCTGCACAGCCCCTTCTGCCTCCATCCACCCATCCTTAAACCATAAATCATTAGCAGACGCAAGATAACATCTCTCCCTCTGCCTGTCCTTTCAGGTCACTTGCTTTTTAGTTTCTCTTTTTTTTTTTTTTCTCCTTTTTCCCTTTATAGCTGTGGCAGACTCAGCCAAAGGTCAGCGAGGCAGTGAGCAAGAGGAAGGGGAAAATTGCCTGATGACTGAGGCAGGAATGTCTCTTCCCTTCCCCCTTCAAAGTTTCCTCTCTCCAGCTCCTTTCCCCCCAAATAAAAGCTTATTCACACCATCATTAGCTGGCTGGGAGGGGTGAGGGTGGCCAGGAGGGCATCAGTGCTGGGTGGGGAGGAGCTGGGGACACGGCTGGGGCACTGAGTGACAATGCCAGCGCTATTTATCGATCGCTGTGGATGGGTTGGTTTTGTGGCGGGGGAAAAAAAAAAAAAAAAAAAAAAAGACAAGTTCATTTCAGGTGAGGCTGGAGTGATAAGTGCTGGGGTTTGCTGGCTGATTGACCCAGGGCCCATCGCTGTCCTTTGGGAAGCAGACAGGCCCTGTGCAGGCAAGGCAGTGGGTGTTTAACCATGGCAGAGGAAATGTGGATCAGACCTGCCACCTCACCCAGGCAGCCTTTTGGAATAGCTGTGCCCCTTGGCTCAAGCAAAGTCCAGCCAAATTCCCCTCCCAGGGGGCTCTGCTGCATCCTCTTTCATCACTTGAGCCTGAAATGGGGGGAGAAGGAAGGGACTGCCAATACATCCAACACTGTAATGGCATCTCCCAGTTGCAGAATCCCTACCAAATTAAAAAGTTTAATTTCCATAACTGTTTTGAGGGGTTTCGGGTGAGGTTTGTGCAGGCTGAGAGTGTGTCCTCGCAGCGAGGTCTGGCGAGGTCAGCGTTGGGATTTTAGGCAAAGAGAGGGTTTGCCAAGGGAAGTAAAAGGTGAATCCAGCTCTCATTAAAATGGTCTAATGGAGCACACTGTGTTTGGATGGTAGTTTGGACTAAAATACTTGCAGTGGGTGAGTGCATATTTTAGGTTGGAGAAGGGCAATGGATACCCAAGGTTGGCCCAAAGATCAGTCCTGGAGACAAGTGGGAAAAGGAGAGAGAGCCCTTTGCAGATGAGAATGAGAGGACTATTGCAGCCCTCAGATCTGGAAAGCCTGGGAAAAGAATAACAAAGCAGAGATGTTAAATGGAAATAAAAGCGCTTTCCTCCTATTCTTCCCTCAGAGCTTCGGGGAATCGAGGGCGAGCTGGAAGAGGGCATTGTTCCTGGGATAAAGGCTTTCCCCAGGGATGGTTATGCTGCAGCCAGGGCACTGTGGGTTTGACCCTTGCCTGCTTCCAGACCTGGCTGCTCTCACTTGGGAACAGTGGTGGCATCTTGCAGGACCAACGTTCTTCCATGAGCCTTTTATTTGGTGAAAGCACTTCTAGCATTATTAGAAAGCTGTTCTGTCTCCTGTGCATGATGGTCTTAAGTGAGAGTGACGTCCCAGTCTCTCCTTCCAGCCCTACAAGCCCTCTTGACTATAGTCTCAGTTTATTTCACAAAAGCACTCTAAATTTTTCCCTGAACATCTCCTTCCAGGATGGTTAGGAGTGAACATGCTGACATCTTTCCTGCTCCAAAGCCTCTGCCCCTTGTCCAAACACCACAGACCATGCTGAGCCATGCTCCAGCAATGCTTCATGTTGCATGTCTCCCAAAACCAACTAAAACCAAGAGAAGAGCCAAGGTGCTTTGGTTCTTGCAGCCAGGCCATATTTCTTCTTTTCTGTGGTCTTTGGCAGAGTCAAAGCAGAATGGAGAAAATGGGTGGTTAAGGCAAGGAAGCAGTGAATGTCAGCTGAACCATCAGAGCCCTGTGCGCAGTGCAAGAAGTGCCCCGTGGCTACTGAAGATGTGGACATAATAAATAGTATTATTTGCCATCTATTGTTCACTGATTGTCACCACTTTTGCCTTCCCCAAGCACAGTTGGAGCTGTCTGTCCCTCATCCAGCTCTGTGCTCCCATGTCTGTGTGTGAGTCAGCAGGGTGGCCATGGGCCACCCCAGCTCGGTGCCCTCCCAGTTTCATCCCCTGGTGCTGCTGGGGAGGGGGAACATTAGAACTGGATCCTGAGGGGCCCAGCCCAGCTTTAGGTGACATCTGAGGTCTGCAGGGAAGGAGGGATCACACCCAGTGTGGCTGTTGATGGGTGTTGTTGGGAGGTTTGCCTCCCCTGTTGTCTGTCTCATCGTCAGTGGAGGTTGTTGGGACGCCAACCCAGGAGGTGCCCCTGGGGCTGGGAGCTGCCACCTCCCTGCCAGCCCCTGCCAGGAGCAGCCACTTCCAGCCCCGGTGGTTGGTGCCAAGTGCTGCTTTGGATGCATTTGTTTGTTCTTACAGTGCCATTTAGCAGCCAGGTAACCTGAGCAGTTGCCTATGGCAGCAGAGCAGGGAGGTGGAAAAACTGGCTCGAGGGACTCAGGCTCAAGGTGATGCCATGTGGCAGTAATGCCACTGTGGTCTCTCCAGGCACCTCACCAGCTGGTGTCCCACACAGGGAGGGCTCTCCCCCTCTCACTCCCCATAATAACGCCATCCCACCCCTCACCCATGTCACTGTGCTCTTCTCCTGCACAGGGCTGATCTTTTGTTGCAAGTTTTAAGTTTCTTCTTGACATTTTGCTTCACCCCACCGAAGTCCCTCTCATTGGCAGCCCCTTGAATAC